AGAGACGGTTGTACAGGGTTTTTGTCTTCATTGTCTGCCATTTTTGCTGTCTTGTGGATGTCCTTACAGAATTCCTGAAGAGTTTGTGTCAAAGCTGGGGGTTGACGGTTGGTCGAAAACCTGCATGAACTCTTCTTCTTCTTCTTCTTCTTCGATTTTTGTGGCGGGTGGTTGTTTCTTCTTCTTTGTGATTCTTTTTAATGGCGGGTGACATCTAACGTTAAGATGTATTGTCGCCATCTACTGTGCTGGAGTGTGGAAACAGAATGTCTCCCTTTAATCTAAATTCTTAGGTATAATTCTGATTCCTTCAAAAATGTAATAACTGCTCTATTTATTTTATGTTTTATTAACAACTTATTAAGTTTGAATGTCTCTATATCATATTTCCTAATTTCTTGTTTTAACTTCTCTCTACTTGCTGTATACTTTTCACAATGTATTATCACATGCTTTACTGTTTCATTGCCCATACCACACTCACAATTACCTGTTGGATGTTTACCTATCATATATAATGTTTTATTTAATCCAGTATGTCCCAGCCGCAATTTTGTCATTACTACTTGTTCTTTTCGATTTTCTCCTATTATTTCCATATTGCCTAATTTCGTTTGTATTTGAAATAGATGACAACCTTTAGTTCCTTCCTCCCACATTTGTTGCCATTCAGATTTAATTTTGCTCTTTATAATTGATTTTATTTCAGATTTACAATATGCTATTTCCATAAGTCTGCTTTGTTTTAAAGATACCTTAGCTAGATGATCTGCCATATCATTACCTTCTATATCTTTATGAGTAGCTTTCCACATAAACCTAATCTTTTTTTCAGTTTGTTTCATTCTAAATAACACTTCATAAATTTCATAAACTAACTCCATACGACTGTCAGATGAAACATTTAAAATAGACATTAATGATGATAATGAATCCGAACATATAAGAACTTTTCCAATTTTATTTTGCTCTACCCACTGTAAGGCCATGAGTATTGCTAGCATTTCCATTGTATATACAGCTAAATTGTCAGATGTTCTTTGTTTAATATATATATGTATATAGTTCAGGAATAGCATAAGCAAATCCTGTTTTATTTTAAATTAAAACTTTTGAATCATCTGTATATATAATTTTAAAGAATTTATACATATTCTCAATTCTGTCCTTTACAAAATTTACCCGGTTATTATCTTTACTAATCTGCATTTCTTTATAAACCTCTAAATCAACATTTGCATAAGAAAACAACCAAAAAGGTGTAATCGGATAAGGCACCGCAGCACAGTATCTCTTTCCCTGTATTCCCATTTCCCTACTGCATTTATCTGCTGCCCATGCAAAACAGTCTCTCTTAGCTTTTGTGGCGGGTGGTTCTTCTTTTTGTTGTGTTTTATGGAGGTTGGCAAACAACAATTATCGCCACCAACTGAAATGGAGTGTGGACCGGGATTGAGAAAATAGAATATATTACTACTACTACTACTACAAAATAAATAAATAAATTTAAAAATCACGTTTATCAAATTATTATTTTTAATATATATAATAAAGAATAACCCTCTCATTTAGAGTGCATCTGTAAAAGGTCTTCTAAATAATAATTGTTAAATTTCAGATCAGGTCTGCTGTCTGAATAATTGTGTTTAAAATAATATAACACTGATCTAGAATCAGAGCAAACTAAACTTCTTAATGGAACGATTTCTTCAATCCATTGTAAGGCCAATATGATCCAAAACATTTCTCCTTTGTAGGCTGAATTCCATCACTGATTCTTTTACCCCATTTAAAAAATTAATTCTGGAACTAAAACAAAACACCATTCCTAATATTGGAATATTTTGAAGCATCCATAAAAAAATGTAACATATCCATAATATTTTTTATCTATAT